ATACCACCAAAAGAAAGCTCTATCTGTCCCCAAAAAAGGGTATAAAATTTATTTCAGTACAGCATTGCATGATGGAATAAACGTCAGTCAAAGTACTGCAGCGCTGAATACTGAAAAATGGCCTGGCAGGAAGGGGGTATAAACACCTGGTCTTCAAGTGGTTAAATCATAACGGTAGTTCTAAAAATGCAAATAAACGAAGTGCAATTTGCCTTGATGTCTTGAAGACCTGAAAGACAAAAGAAAGAACATGCATATTGTAAGAAAGAGTCCGTATGGCATACTGACCTGGCCAGCTGGAAGCACTTTTGTAGGGAAGTATGCCATACTTCCTTGGCAGCGAAAGGGTTAATCAGTATTGGCAACAAATGCAGCTTTATTGCATTCAACGTAAAAAGTCTCTTATCAACTGGGTATGGTTTCCCTTTTTAAACAAACAATTTCCAGCAGAAACTCAAAACTAACACAAATAAAAAGGCCTACTCCACCTAACTAACTAACTAACAGTAGTGTCCCTCACTACGTCCTACTGGAGCGGCTATTCCAGCTTCTATTATAAATTAACATGCATAGAAAACCAAAGTCTGTTACATACAGTTTTTCTGGCAGACCTTGTTATCACTTTGGCTAGTTGAAGGCAACTGACATCTCTTCTTGATGAACTCCCATTTGAGCTTCTATTTCTGCTTCCTTTCTAGTAAAGAAATGTCTCACTTTAGTTGCATCCATATTTGTACGGGCCTCTATTAGCTTGTCGCTTAATGTCGCTTAATAGGATTATCTCTTTGGTTAGTTGAAGGCAACTAACATCTCTTCTTGATGAACTCCCATTTGAGCTTCTATTTCTGCTTCCTTTCCAGCAAAGGAATGTCTCACTTTAGTTCCTTCCATATTTGTACGGGCCTCTATTAGCTTGTCGCTTAATGTTGACCTCCGGAAGCAAGAGGATCTAGATTGTAGAAGATCGTGCAGTGAGCTTAGTTGATGTAGATTTATGAGATCTGGTTTAAATGAACCAAATAGGTTTAAACATACCTGTGTCTTTGCCGCACGCTTCAGTCCAAAGATCTGAAGATTCTCGGATGGCCACAAAGATCATGGGTCGGGCGCACGCGCAGTTCAGATCTTCGGCCGGGAGAAGAGGAGATACACAGGGTAAGTCAATGCAGCAGCATGCACCCGCACAGACTCCATGGGACAGAAAGCGACAAGAGTCAGCGCTGGATCAGAGATCAGCACCAGCGCTGCAGGGACTCCTGAAAACTCCTGGAAAGAAGAAGATGATCGGATCAAAAGGCATCATTTAAGGGAAGTCCTCAAAGCCTCTATTAGCTTGTCGCTTAATGTTGATCTCCTGGAGCAAGAGGATCTAGAAGGTCTGGGTCTTCGGCAGTTGAGCAATGCGGAGTTCTGCCTTTTCTTTAGCAATTTTCACTAAGAGTTAATTTAAGTCAGTACATCTCAGTTAATTCTGGTAAAGAGTTCTCTATATTAGAGTCCTTTCAGAAAGCTGTGTATTTTGCAGACAGCTACTGGTAACGTTCAAAGGTGGCAGATAGGCAATTTAATTCAGTTAGTTGATCATTAAAGCATGGAGAAACTGACATCCAGTGTTTGGGTCTGTCCCATAGATCTTACAGATTGCTGGAGAACTCATCTCTAGTTGTTTCATAGTTTTCTCTGAGTTTCTGTGTTGGTTTTATTGTGGGTTTGGGTCACACTCTGCTCGTCAATATCTGCAGAATTTACTCTCTGTACATCTGTGTAGGCAGAAGCATGATATATCTTTATTGATTCAGGGGTTATAGAGTGTACGAAGCCTTGTCTAGACATTTTGTACCTTTTGCAGAAAATGGGTACTGTCTCTTTAAGAAGAACAGCAGCTTAGATAGGCAGGGTAAAACAGTTCAATGCAGAGAAACAGTTTTCAACATTCACAGGTGAAGTGCAGTAGGCGTATACAATCATGTGGTTTCACAAGATGGCGGATAGCACTGAGCTTGATTGCAGATTAGGCACACACATATACAGTACATAGCAGGCTGTAGGAATTCTACTCATCTCTGACTATTCTGACTCTGATTGTTGTATTAGTGATTTATCCCTTGCTGAGACCTCTATGCCTGGCCTGTATAAGCAGATACAACCACCAAGGACCATTTTCATCAGATAGCGGAACTCGCCAAATACCTTTTTCATCCACGGTGATCTTTATTGAATGCAGCAGGCTACAGCAGGCTACAGCAGACAACAGGATGGAGCAGTTGTTTAAAAAGGCGGCATTTTCAGGCCAAAAGAGTATAATGCCCTCCTTCTGAATGAACATGTGGGCAGTAGGACGTGCGGCCATGTTGTTGAAAACACCCATATGAAGAATAAGAGGGAACTACATTATAAAAAGGGAGGTAACACAGAAAAAGGTGGTGCACTAAACATATGAATATTAACCATGACTATGCATTGTATGACATTTCCATACATTAGCTGTAGCAGCACATATATTTAGATATATTAATACAGTAATACCTTGGTTCACGAACGCTTCTGTTCGCGAACAAATCGGTTCGCGAACAGGAAGTTGGGCAAAATTTTGCTTACGTTCGCAAACTCAGCATCGTGTGACAAACACGACCGTGGCCATCTTCCCCACTTTGACACGTGATCGTGGCTTCCTCTAGTCGAGATCGGGGATCACAGACAGACCTGTGCACACTTGCTGTGAAGCTTTTTTGTGTGCTTTTTAGCACATACAGTACTGTACAACCGAGTCTTAAAATTTCAAGTCCTAAGCTACTAGCCAGATCTTAAAAGTTACGCGCCACCAGTTGCCCCACCTAACCCCTACCCTGCCCCGGCCTTAACTCTGCCAGGTCATCGGTGTGACGCAGAGTACAAAGATCAGAAACAACGCACAGTACAGAAGACAGTGGTGCAATGCACAATACAGAGGCCAGCTGTGTGGCGCACAGTACACCAGTCAGCAATGTGACGCACAGTGCAGAGGTCAGCAATGTGACGCGGAGTGCAGAGGTCAGCAATGTGACGCGCAGTGCAGAGGTCAGCAATGTGACGCGCAGTGCAGAGGTCAGCAATGTGACGCGCAGTGCAGAGGTTAGCTATGTGATGCGCAGTACAGAGGTCAGGGTGTGGCGCACAGTACAGAGGTCAGGGTGTGGCGCACAGTACAGAGGTCAGGGTGTGACGCACAGTACAGAGGTCAGGGTGTGATGCACAGTACAGAGGTCAGGGTGTGATGCACAGTACAGAGGTCAGGGTGTGACGCCTAGTACAGAGGTCAGGGTGTGACGCACAGTACAGAGGTCAGTGCACAGTACAGAGGTCAGCAGTCAGAATGTAACAGAGTGCAGGGGTCACAAAGAAAATACAGGGACTTACAGCAGCTTTGACCTCTTCTTCTCCTGGTGATGGTGGGGGTGCTGAGCCACCCTGCCCCCGGGCCTAGTCCACCCTTGGGTCAGACTAATCCAGCACGTTATTAATATGAGTGCCCCACTCTATATGGCCGCAAGCGAAGGGCATACTGAGTGAGGCAACTCAGATTAATAACGTCCAAAAGATGTGGACTAGGAGGGGGAGCTCTTTAAGACTGCTCTGATCACACTGCTGAGCGATCCCTCTCTCTCTTCCCGACCTCTGCAGCTTCAGCTCCACAAAGAGGGCACTCAGAGAGGCGGCTCTGATCACACCTGTCAGCGTTCCCTCTCTCTGCTCCCGTCCGCTGCAGCTTTAGAGCAGCCGGGAGGAGAGAGAGGGAGCGATAACATGTGTGATCAGAGCCGCCTCTCTGAGTGCCCGCTTCATGGAGCTGAAGCGGGCCGCGAGGGAGAGAGAGGGATCGCAGAGAGGTAGTGCCGGCTCTGGATGGGACACTACCGCTGCGCTGATCGTTCACTTCTGATCCCCTCCTTCTCAGCCACTCTGTAGCTGCAGCAATCGAGAAAGAGAAGAGAGAACATAAGCAAGTGATCGCCGTGGCGGTAGTGTCCCATCCCTGGTCCCGCCGGCGGCGCACCCCATCGCTGCCATTCCACTCGCAGCCCCCTCGCCAATTGCGAGGGGGCGAGTGGAAATTTTGAGGCCTGCTGTACAGTATTATTCAATCCAGCATGGCTCCAAAGAAAGTGCAGAGCAAGTGTGATGGTAAAAAGAAAGTGCAGAGCGGTAATGAATTTACATATGGTTCAGAACGGATTAACCTCATTTACATTGAACCTTATAAGAAAATTTGATTCTGTTTGCGACCAAAATCGGTTCGCGGCCACGTTCGCAGGGGTCAGAACGGATTAACCTTATTTACATTGCACCTTATGGAGAAATTTGATTCGGTTCGTGACCAGAATGATGGAACGAATTAAGTTTGTGAATCGAGGTACCACTCTATTTGAAAATTCTGCTTACATTTTTTAATGGATTTACACTTGCTTAAAAATCCTACCTATCTCCCCCACATGTAATGTTAAGGTGGAGGTTGTGGGGAGTTGTATTTACTCTAATGAACCCTGTCTGTACTGTGCTAGCAGATTTCATCATCCGTTGTAAAACAGATTTGATCACTGCCTGTCCTAACAAAGAATTAGAAGCACAGTATTTTAATAAGAGGAAGCTCAGTCTGGTCCTAGGGCTAGACTATCTACTTTCGCTTTCAAACTGTTCAGAGTAGGTTAAAATCTGTACAAAGGTCTTCACCATAGAAATATCTACAAGGTAAGAAATATATTTAAAAAAATATATTTTTAGGTATGCTGTGTGAATAGGAACACATAACAATATAGTGAAGTGTTCTCAAATCTGACTGCAAAAATGGAACTACACTTTAAATACTCTTATGCCTTGAACCGTTCATACAATCATATTAGATAATGTTGATCAATCAGTTTATTCATTGCACGTTAACCTTTTTATTTCTTTTGCCTCTAGATAAGTTATCCATCCTCTCAGTTGTCAATGAAGGCATTACAAATACCACCCAATACTACCTCTCCAGTCAATGGTTGACCAGGTTTGTGCCATCAGTGTACACCTTGGTGGTTGCTGTGTCTTTGCCCCTCAACATTATGGCAATTATTGTGTGTGTCTTCAATATAAAAATCAGAACCCCGGCAGTGGTCTTTATGCTAAATCTTGCAGCTGCCGATGTTCTGTTTGTTAGTGTGCTGCCATTTAACATTGCTTATCGATTCTCTGAAAATAACTGGAACATTGGAGATGGAATGTGTCGTTTTGTCACTGCTGCCTTTTACTGCAACATGTACTGCTCCATCCTGCTCATGACAAGCATCAGCGTGGACCGATTCTTGGCTGTGGTATACACAATGAAGGCTCTTTCCTGGCGCACAAAGAAAAGAGCCTGGCTGGTCTGCTTCTGTATTTGGATAATATCAATACTCAGCTCACTACCTCTTCTTATATCCAAGCAAACTGTGTATATAGACACGCTTAAGATTACAACTTGCCATGATGTCTTGGATGTGGGTGACCTCCAGAACTTCTATATGTATTATTTTTCCACCTTTTCTTTAGCCTTCTTCTTCTTGCCACTGATTATTACCACTATCTGCTACATCAGCATCATCAAGAAACTGAGTACCAATGACATTGAAAATTCTTGTAAGAAGACAAGAGCAGTGATCCTTGCCATTGTAGTTTGTTTTGCTTTCCTGATTTGCTTTGGTCCAACAAATATCATCTTTCTAATTCATTATTTGCATTTCCGTAATAGCATTGATGAGTCCATGTATTTTACCTATATTCTGTGTACCTGTATCAGCAGCCTCAGCACCTGTTTGGATCCTCTCATCTACTACTATGCTTCTTCAAAGTATCGGACGCATGCGTACAATTTGCTTTGCTGCAAAAAGGCAAATGCAGTGCAATCAGCAAAGCAACAACTAACTGGACAAAGTGAAACGTCTACAGAAAACACTTTTACTTTATAATAGAAATTCAATATGTACAACAGAAAGAAAGTTATGGAACAAACAATTTGTCAGGGTACTGTGCACGGGTGTCCCCACACCGCATGCAGGTAACCACGCAGGATGACCAAATTAGTATAACCACACCAGATAAGGTTATATGCACACAGTTTATTATATATGCCAAAATATAACGAATAACCCCACCAACACCTACAAGTAACCACAAACAAGTAATAGTAAATGAAAACACAAGCACATACAAAAGGTACAAGGCAAGTAAACCTGGGGAGCTGGGCCACACCAGGGGAGCTAAGGGACAAAGGGTCAGGGTATAGGCAGGTAACAGGATACTGCAAACGTGTACCGGGTATCAGGGCTCAGGACACAGGACTCAGTCAGGGAAAAGGCAACAGGATACTGAGCCACAGTCCTGATTGCAGGGAGGGATTATATACCCTCCCAGGAAGCACCAGGTGATGGCTAGGTGCTGGCAGCTGGGAGACACCCACAGGTGAGCACTGGAGCCGCAGGTTCAAGCACCACCCAGTGGTGGTCTGATACCTGACAGTTCCTCCCTGCCTGAAGACACCTGCAGGCGAGCGCAGGAACTGCAGGTACTGGCTCCAGCGCCACCTGGAGGTGCTCTGGATCTTGACACAATTGTAATATGTGTAATGTGGGGATGTTCAGATACCAGTATCTGTTTAAGTACTGATACTTGACATTTTCATGAGAACTACCAGGGTCACCGTGCCACCACTGTCCAGAAATCATTAGTCTGTATTGTTTTAGAAAAACTGTCACATGACACTAAAGTAAAAAGTATCAGTAATTGCTATCTGTGAGTACTTGGGCAAGTATCAGTACTTGCACTTGGTCTGCTAAAAATGGTATCGGTGCATCCCTAATTAATATATATATGTGTATATATATATATATATATATATATATATGTATATATATATGTGTGTATATATATATATATATATACACACACATACATACAGTTTTAACATATCATATATTATACAGGGATGCAAAAAATCCCAGGAGCCTTGTAGCCAATGGTCCTTAAAAATGACAGCTGCCTCCTAACTTTTCAGTTTTTCGCTAGTCTAGTCTTGGAGCTGGAAAAGTATCAAAACTTGTACTAAGTACAGTACTTGGTATCTGTGAATCCCTAGTGTAATGTTTGGAATGCTTAGAGAGGATTTATTGACGTTTTGGGGTTTGAGACATATATTTGAATTCTATGATGTATCTAAACCCATGGACAAAAAGTTAAATATTGCAGCTTACCAGTCCTTAGATGTGGTGACTGCATTAGTTCCCTTTTGTCAGACTCTTTCCTTTACCTGGTGATCCTGCCAGTAATACACTTCCTCTGCTACGGCGACAACACTGCTCTCCTGATTTAGGCTACAGACACCTCCCCCTTTCCTCATCTTCATGAAAGAAGTTATGGAACAACAATTTTCGGAAAGTTTTAAACGCTTAAAAAAGATTGATAGACTTTTTTATAGAGATTTTACTAATATTTTTGAATATTGTGAAATTAAAGCATATCGAAAATAATTTTTTTTTTTAATTATGTTAACAGAAGGAAATAATTAAAACACCTGTAAGGTTATTATTTAATCTCCACTATCACTGTTTGTCCTGGTGACAACTATCAATGGGACTGAAAGCAATGGGAAATTAAAATGTTTACAGTTGTCACCGGCGCTGTAATAGAAGGGAAATCTTTCAATGCGCCCACATATTTTGGTGTCAACCAAGAGATTTCCGCCAATTTGGAAAAATGTTATCTCTCTTCCGATTGTGTCTTCAGGACAAGAAGTAAAGGGAAGTTTCCTGAATGGAACCCAGATAAAGGGGCGTCCCGAGGCTGGGTAACACCCGGAGCGGTTACTGGGTGTCACCCCGCCGAGATGTCACCGTGCACGCGCGTCGATCTTCTGATACCTGCCGACGGCCATCTTGGTGATGGATGCCGGCAGAGAGAGGAGGGGACAGCCACCCGGCGGGATGAGGTATGCCGCCGGGTTCCCTCCCCTCTCCCGATACTGGACCGAGTGCCCGACTTTTTAGAGTGGGGGGGGGGCACCAAAATGACTGTCAGTCATTTTGATGTCACCCCTCCAATGGTGACACCTGGGTGCGGGCCGCACCCCCCTTGTGACGCCACTGCCCAGATAACAAAAAATACCTGACAAGAGTTTAACTATTCCCCACTACATTAAACACTAAATATATTTTGACGTTTGATAAACTTTGAAGTAGATAATCTCATAAGTGTGTGTTAATATTTACAAAAATGTCTTTCTGTCAATATGTAATGCATGTTCGCTTGTTACATATAAATGCTGTGCTTCCTGGTTAGTGGTACTGCACAGCAATATTGTTTCCTACCTCAGTAGAACTCTATGGCTCATAACAGAGCTATTATACCATCCTGAGCTCAGCAATTCTGTAACTGATTTATATCTAACTATCTATCTGATTATGCTATCACAAAGGTAGTAGGATGTCATGAGACATCATCAATAATATGAACTTAAAATGTGTATTTACTGAACATAGACAAAACATTCAGTATGCAGGAGTAGTAGTAGTAGTGTTGAGTGTATTTTATTTAACTTGGCCAGGGCTAATATAATTTTGACAAAATTATTTTTAGTAAATCTGAAATATTGCGTATGAATATTTAGTATATTGATATGTAGATGGCAGGTGGAGCTCTTGTCTCCTTTTTAAATGTTTCCAAGGCTATCCTTATCTGTTTTTTTTGGAAAAAGTCTGTTGTCTACATTGCTCAATACCTAAAGCTTCAACTGGACCTGTGGCTAAGATATTGAAATTTCAAATATATGTAAACAAAAAAACAAGACTTTAATAATATCTACTGCTAGCAAGAAGCAGATATATGCAAAAACATTCTAAAAAGTTACCTAATAGGTAAAAACGTGCCTCTGTATCCACCACCATTCGCTCCCAGCTGCAGATCACAGCTTCCTGAATGACCGTAGCCTTTAATGCCACTTTAAGCATATAAATTAGCTATAAAACAAACCCTCCCTGATCTTTGTAGCTGCAGGCATTGTGGAGCAATACATTTTTTTAAAGTTCACAGCAAAAGTACTGAAGATATTAAAATTGTGTAAGCAGCTCAGCTCCCCCTAACCACATTCACTCAGCAACTTTCCTGCCTTCTAATTTCTAAGGTAAACACAGGGCAGAAGCTGGGTAAGTTGAACTGCTGAGAGACTGACTTGAAGGACTCCAGTGCTTCTGCTGTAAAGTCTGAGGATGAATTGCTCCACGGTACCTGTAGCTACAGAGGTCAAAGTGCAAGCTTGTTTAAATCTCATTTACTGCTTGTTTGGAATATGTAAATACCTGAATGCCCATAGCTTGGCCACAGGTTCACGTTAAACAGCTAAATGGTAAATTTTCTTCCCTTTGTAACTACTGTAAGTTAAGTTAAGCTTTGTAACTTTGTATTAAAACAAAGATTTTATCCATAAAAACAGATAAAAACACCAGTTTAAATAAAATGATAGACTAAAAATTAAAAAAAAATAAACTCAAAACCAATTTTGGGAATGAGGTAGAATGGTGCAGTATATAAATATCTGCATGAACAACTCCAGGAGGGCTGTACTCCCTGCATACAAGTTTTAATAAAAAACATTTTCTGGAGTGTACCTTTATTTTAATAAAATTCAGCATGTTTAATTGGTATCAAAATAACGTTTATTTATAGCATGTCATCATAGTCCTAAATGAGATCATACAGTACTTAAAAATTAAAAATACATGCATCCTGTTTAGTTGCAGAGTGCCACAAACGATTTAATAAAATACATAGAATGTTAATGTGGTCTATAAAGTGGTCTATAAAGTGACAATGTCACTTTGCCTATTTAGTGTAGACACCCCCAGGCATATATACTTACCTAGCTATACTCCCTCTTTAACCTCCCTGTTGTGGCAAAAAGAAAGTCAGCATGCTCCAAATGATTGAATATGAATCCAACTACTCAAGGGATCCTGCATCAATAAAATGTTTAAATGCTCTTTTTAATCAAGTAGAATCTTCAAAAGGTAGCACAGCTTTGGGAGTCCTCACCCTTCCTCAGGAAACTTTGAACTTGAGGGTAGGGATGCAGAAAAGAAACTGCCATGTGTACCTTGTGCAGATGTTTTTTCGTGATTAAAAATAACATTTATAATTTTGACTGACTTTATATACAGGTAGCCCTTGGTTTGTGCTGGTTCTGTTTGCACCGATTCAAAATAGTGCCCCTTTTGGCTGGTCACATGCCCGCCATTGAAACAACACCACCACCTAGTGTAAAGGATTTTTACTAAAGGATACGTAGGGGAGCGCTATACAGCACAAATTCAGGTAGCTATAATACAACAGCACAGTACTGGGCCGAGTTCCTGGCAGCTAGATTGGGGCACAGGTAAATAATTGTGGCTCAGGAAGGGGCTCAAAGAACTGTGGAAACATATAGATTGGAGGTATGCTGGTGCACACATGGAGATGGGCTGGTGGCACAGGGATACACATGGAGATGTACACAGGCACATAGGGACGTGTTGGAGGCACAGGGGGTACACTTGGAGCTACAGAAGACCATAGGGGTACATTTGGACATATACAAGAGCACAGGGGTACACTTGAAGATATGGAGGAGCACAAGGTTAAACTTGGAGATAAAGAGGAGCAAGGAGGTACACTTGGAGATATGGAGGAGCACAGGAGGTACACTGGAGATATAGAGGAGCACAGTGTTAAAAATCCTGATTTAAATAGGAAACAATTGCAGCAATATTCACTACTTTGTCAGATGTCCATTAGAGGCCAAAAGCAGGAAGCAGGTATGGCGTCCTTAGTTTTGGGACATCATTGGTGCATTTTACATGCATTTACCCTGCCAAATATTGTAAACATTGCTATATTAGTTTTACTCGATATTATCCTAGTTAAATGAAGTAATTACCAATCT